TACATTATATATTACATAATCAAGGTCATATTTTGGCTTTCACAGACTTGTTTTAATTTTCTTCAGCTTTAACTTGAACTAGCATATAAGCAATTAATGGTCTGTTCCACAGTCAGCTGCTGGCCTTGTTTTGACTGATGATATTGAGCTTCGCCATGGCCTCTTTCCAGAGATGTGGTCAATCTGATTCCTATGTATTCGATCTGGTGACCACCACGTGTATAGTCGTCACTTATGTGTAGCACATTGTGTTTAATAAACACTTCTTGAATTCATAAATGAACTAAATCTGTAGTGATAGGGAGTGATAGGGTTTGGAAAGGGTTGGATATGAAAACTGAGATGGAGAGGGACTGATTTATGTCGTCTGCTTCAATAAAAGTTATTTTACCTTCCACAGTAAATTTTGACAAAAGGAGTGGATATCATGAAGTGTAGTGAACAGGTCACCCATATGGCCTTCCTCCCTTCTTAATACTTAAGTGTTATTGTTTCTGCTCTAGCATCTAACACTACACTAATAATGATTTATTAGGATCAAATTGTGTAATTTTGTTTTTCAACTTGTCAGGTACCTATGGCAACTTGTGGACTGATTGAACCAGTGAGAGTTATATGCAGACATGGACAATAACATTTGCATATCACCTGGTTCAGGTGATAATCAAATCAATGGAGCTATAGTAAAATCCTAAAAGGCTTATACTCTGCAGGTATGAGGGTACCTTTTTCTCTGAAGGATTGCAGCCTTGGTAATGTTTATCTTTATGACGATTTCTCAACTACTAAAAAAGACACAGAAAACATTAAGGTGGATCTCCAGATGAAAATAAATATGGCTGAGATGTAGGAGAAAACCCTGAATAAAATGCAGTAAAGTATGCTTCTTTATAGTGATGGAACAATTTATCATGCCCAACATCTGATCTTCTCCCTTACAAGAAATTTTGCAGTGCTGAACCACAATAGGAAAAATCCACTTATCATGAATGTAATGTTGTTTTCTTAGCAAAGAAGCATTAGAATTGAGACTGACACCTACCAAATAAATTATCAGCACATTTTAAAGGGCTTTTTAGCAATGAAAATTTGGGTTATTTGTTCAAATAGCCTTCTATTTCCTCTTCTATCCTTGTATCTATTTTGGACTATAGGTTTTTTTTTGTTTTGTTTTGTTTTGTTTTTAAATAAAAGTCAGCTTTCTCACTGTGTCTTTTCAACATAAAGATGTTTTGTGAGAAAATAAAATCATAGCACCAAAAGTTTACAGTTTGAAGCAGAATTCATAAACCAATATGTATGGGCTTGAAAATTTACATAAGAGAGTAAAATATTATTATTATACCATGAATAACCTCAAATTTTGCCCTGGCTTATCAACACAAAAAAATGAATTATACACGTTTTCCCCAACACACACATACACACACACACATAATGACATTGGTAATTACTTTTGCACTGTTAATGAGGCTGGAGATTTATCAACCTAGTTTTAATTCTTAGTGTATGTCTCTAAACAGTCCTTCTAAACATGAGCAGCATACGTTGACTTTACTAAAGGTAATTAACATTCTGAGGTTAATGAGATTAATTAGGTTGAGAAAATAATACCTAGTGGCCAGTGGAGCCAACAGTTAGAGTATCCACAGTAAGACATATGTTTTGTTCTGCCCTTTCTAAAAAAAATACACACACACA